AAAAGAGCCTGAAAGATAAAGAACCCAGATATATGCCGGGCGGTGGTGACACACGCCTTTAATCCCAGCACTCAGGAGGCAGAGCCAGGCGGATCTCTGTGAGTTCGAGGCCAGCCTGGGCTACCAAGTGAGTCCCAGGAAAGGTGCAAAGCTACACAGAGAAACCCTGTCTCGAAAAACCAAAAAAAAAAAAAAAAAAAGGACCCAGATATATTGCCAGACAAATCTCAGAAATGTGAATTAGTTAAAAAAAAAAAAAAAGACCCCAAACAGCTCAGAAGAGCCTCAAAGCTGACAAGGAAGAGGCATGGCCCATGGCAGTTGAGTGGAGTGGACTCACCTGGGGCCAGACTCCAAGAGCTGAAGAGTCTGAACACTTCTGCCTCACCAAGTAGTGGTGGCAGCAGCTGGGGCCTGATCAAATGTAAGATGAGTCTCTGGAAGCTATGTGAGACCATCCATCCCGTCCTCCACCTATATGGGACCATCCATCCCATCCCCCCATGTGGACCATCCATCCCATCCTCCCCCACTTGTGGGTTCATCCATCCCATCCCCCCATGTGGACCATCCATCCCATCCTCCCCCACTGTGTGGGTTCATCCATCCCATCCTCCTCCTATGTGGGACCATCCATCTCATTCTCTTTATGTGGGTGCATCCATCCCATCCTCCCACTACGTGGGACCATCCATCTCATTCTCTTTATGTGGGTTCATCCATCCCATCCTCCTCCTATGTGGGACCATCCATCTCATTCTCTTTATGTGGGTGCATCCATCCCATCCTCCTCCTATGTGGGACCATCCATCTCATTCTCTTTATGTGGGTGCATCCATCCCATCCCCCCATGTGGACCATCCATCCCATCCTCCCCCACTTGTGGGTTCATCCATCCCATCCCCCCATGTGGACCATCCATCCCATCCTCCCCCACTGTGTGGGTGCATCCATCCCATCCTCCTCCTATGTGGGACCATCCATCTCATTCTCTTTATGTGGGTTCATCCATCCCATCCTCCTCCTATGTGGGACCATCCATCTCATTCTCTTTATGTGGGTGCATCCATCCCATCCTCCTCCTACGTGGGACCATCCATCTCATTCTCTTTATGTGGGTGCATCCATCCCATCCTCCTCCCATGTGGGACCATCCATCTCATTCTCTTTATGTGGGTGCATCCATCCCATCCTCCTCCTATGTGGGACCATCCATCTCATTCTCTTTATGTGGGTGCATCCATCCCATCCTCCTCCCATGTGGGACCATCCATCTCATTCTCTTTATGTGGGTGCATCCATCCCATCCTCCTCCTATGTGGGACCATCCATCTCATTCTCTTTATGTGGGTGCATCCATCCCATCCTCCTCCTATGTGGGACCATCCATCTCATTCTCTTTATGTGGGTGCATCCATCCCATCCTCCCACTACGTGGGACCATCCATCTCATTCTCTTTATGTGGGTGCATCCATCCCATCCTCCTCCTATGTGGGACCATCCATCTCATTCTCTTTATGTGGGTGCATCCATCCCATCCTCCCACTACGTGGGACCATCCATCTCATTCTCTTTATGTGGGACCATCCATCGCATCCTCCCCCACTGTGTGGGTTCATCCATCCCATCCTCCCACTACGTGGGATCATTCATCCCGTTCTCTCTGCTATGTGGGACCATCCATCCCATCCTCTCCCTCTGTGGACCATCCATCCCATCCTCTCCCTCTGTGGACCATCCATCCCATCCTTCTCCTCCATTCTCCAACTTGCTGCTAGAAGCCACTACTCACAAGCCTCTTTTTACCTGGTTGGTTTGCTAAAGTTGGTATGAGAGCTTTTAGCAAAAAGCCTGGACTCCAGCAGTCAACAGGCCTGGCTCAGCAGCCTCACCCTGTGTGTAAACTACCCTCATAGTAGGAGAGCTGAGTCTGTCCTGTGGAGTTTTGTTCTTTCTGGAATCCAAGGTGACTACAGCTTGAGGACAATGACATCTCTGTGCTGTTAGCCTTGTGACCCAAGTAAGGAGTCAATGTTTTTTAGGAGAAGCAACTTCTAAATGCCTATTTCAATGCCTTGAAGTCATGAAACAATGTCATTATTCACCTATTTCTTTTTTTATTTTTATTTTTATTTTATGTGCATTTTTAAAAATTTTTTATTCATTTTACATACCAACCACAGTTCCCCCTCCCATCCCTCCTTCTACTACCTCCCCCTCCATCTTCTCCTCTCAATTCACTCCCCATCCCCTCCTCCAAAAGGGTAAGGCCTCCCATGGGGAGTCAACAAAGCCTGGTACATTCGGTTGAGGCAGGGCCAAGTCCCTCCCTGCTGCATCAAGGCTGAGCAAGGCATCCCACCACAGGGAATGGGCTCCAAAAAGCCAGCTAATGCACCAGGGATAGATCCTGACCCCACTGCCAGGGGCCTCTCAAACAGACCAAACTACACAACTGTCTTCCATATGCAGAGAGCCTAGTCCGGTCCCATGCAGGCTCCACAGCTGTCAGTCTAGAGTTTGTGAGTTCCTACAGCTTGGTTCAGTTGTCTCTGTAGATTTCCCCATCATGGTCTTGACCCCCCTTGCTCATATAATCCCTCCTCCCTCTTTTTTGTCAGGACTTCCGGGACTTGGTCTGGTGCTTGGCTGTGGATCTCTGAGTCTGCTTCCATCAGTTACTGGATGAAGGTTCCATGATAACAGTTAGGGTATTCACCAATCTGACTACAGGGGAAGCCCAGTTCAGGAACCCTCTCCACTATTGCTAGGAGTCTAAGCTGGGGTCATTCTTGTGGATTCCTGGGAACTTTCCTAGCATCAGGTTTCTCCCTATCCCCATAATGGCTCCCTCTATGGAGATATCTCTTTCATGTGCATTGGTGTTTTGCCTGCATGTATGTCTGTGTGAGGACGTCAGAAACCCTGGAACTGGAGCTACAGATGGGTGTAAGCTGCCACATGAGTGCTGGGAATTGAACCCGGCCGTCTGGAAGAGCAGCCAGTGCTCTTTACTGCTGAGGTAGCCCTATTAACCTATTTCTTACTGCTGAATGTAGTATTCCCTCTATTCAAATGTGAAGTATCATCTCATTCTGCAGCACTTTCCAGATGCCTGTCCCTTGAGATATTGCTCCCCTGTAAACCATGATGCCCACCCTACATTGTAAGAGCCCTGATTGGCTTGTTAGTTCTTCACAGCAGCTAGTAAACTTCCTGTTCATACAGGCAAGGGGAGAGTGCAGAGCCTCTGATGTCACCGTTAATCCCTCCCTGTGGTGTGAAGCAGGGTGAATGCTTCAGGAGACTGATGAAGGTGCTAAGTGCTTGGATCAGAGTGGAGATCCCTGCAAGCCCAGGACATCTGGGAGGTACCGAAGGTTCAGTGCACCTCCCTGATAAAGCTGCACCTCCGACTTTGTGGGTTGTTGTGCAAATGTTTTACCTCTCAGATCATACCCTGCGGACTGAGAACCCATCTTGTCCATAAACGCTCGTACTTGAGGAAGTGTACAAAATCAGGCAAAATCAGGAATGGCAAGTTCAGACATTTTTTTTAAAAGTAAGCAATGTAAGAATTAATAAGGATAATCAAGGAAATTCTATGAGCATGAATTGAAGTTACAGAAAACTGGAGACCAGTGTGGTGGTGCACACCTTTAATCCCAGATTTTAGAAGGCACAGGTAGATGGCTCTCTATGAGGCCAGCCTGGTCTACATAGGGAGCTCCAGCCAAGGATACAAAGTAAAAAAAAAAAAAAAAAAAAAAGGAAAAGAACAATTTTTAATGTAGTGTGTAAAATATATTACCTATGAAGGTATATTTCTTTATAGGAAAGAAGAAAGCCCGAGGAAAAACATACTCTGTCCCTTAAGATAATCCAAATAAACACTTAAAAATAATGTGTGGATATGAAGTTGGATGTTTCTCTGGTCCCACCTGGCTCCACGGTTCTGTGTTCCTCCAGTCCAGCCGGGCCCCACAGTCCTGCAGCCGCTTATAAAATAATCACTCAGAGGCTTATATTAATTACCAACTGTATGGCCTGCGGGAGGCTTCTTGCTAGCTAGCTCTTTCATCTTAAATCAACCCATTTCTACTTATCTTTGTATTGCCAGGTGTTCCGTGGCTTTACCTACCTTCATTACACGTTGCTCCTTGGACGGCAGTTCGGCGTCTCCCCCACTCTCCTTTCTCCTCTCACTGTCTCTCTTGGATTTTCTGCCTGGCTCCATCCTGCCCTGCCATTGGCCAGTGCCACTTCATTTACTAGCCAATGGGAACAGTATATATTCACAACATACAGAAAGACACCCCACAACATGGATATACCCAGGAAACTGTGTCTTTAACCAAATTTCCTTAAGTAGGTTCCTTTTACTCACAAGGGAACATGCTCGTGATAGGATCATGAGTGCAGTCCGTGTGGCTGTCCTAACTCACAATCTTAGCTCTCACTGTGTAAAAGTGGGAAACCATGGTTTCCAAACCAGGCTTCAGATATGAATCTAATAGCATGTAGCCATTCTTCAGAGAATATGAATGACACAGACATGAATGATCACAAAGTCCATGTTCCCACCACTGCCTGCTGTACACTAGGCCTCTCACGTTACAACTCCAGTTAAAACAAACTCATAGGCTCTGCTGTCAGCACCTGGGAGGCAGAGGCAGGTGGAACTCTGAGTTCGAGGCCAGCCTGGTCTACAGAGCAAGTTCCAGGACAGTCAGGGCTACACAGAGAAACCCCAACAACAATAACAACAAAAAGAGAGATTAAAAAAATTCCCGCCGGGCGGTGGTGGCGCACGCCTTTAATCCCAGCACTCGGGAGGCAGAGCCAGGCGGATCTCTGTGAGTTCGAGGCCAGCCTGGACTACCAAGTGAGTTCCAGGAAAGGCGCAAAGCTACACAGAGAAACCCTGTCTTGAAAAACCAAAAAAAAAAAAAAAATTCCCACAAACTTCTTAGTTCAAAAGAACTACACAAGACAAGTATGCATTACTGATATTTTAATATAAATAGCTTATGATTTATGGTAAAAAAAAAAAAAACCAGTCTGTGCCTCCATCACAAATACTGAACATGGTTTTATGACAAAATATTCCTTACATACCATAATATGTCACCTCCTTCACTGCAGGATAAACTCTGTACACACCACAGCGCACCCACCTCCCTCCCCTCAGGACAGCAACTGAGAAGAGATTTGGAACTGACCTCTGGCACACCCAGAAGTTTGTCTCCGTTAAAACCACCATCCATTGCATGAGCATGCTGGCGAGCAAGCATGTCCATATGCTCCAAGAAACCCAGAAGAGCCAATTAGATAACTGAACGTTTAAAGGGGATGTTACACATTTCCTTTTTTATTAAATTTTTCTTGGTACCATACATTTTGCATGTTTTTTTCCCTCTTTCCCAATTCCTCTCCAACTTCCTGCCCCCTAACAATAAGAAAAAAATGCCCAAACAAAAGCAAAATGAAACAAAAAGTCCACAGAAATACAACTGAGTTTGTTTTGTGTTGGCCAACTACTCCTGGGTGTGGCCATGTCCTGGAGTGTGTTAATATATGCAGTGAGAGTCCATTGACCAAAAACTGATTTTTCCTGAAATTTCATTCATTTCTAGCTACAGATTATAGCTAGAAACATTACAGAAAGGGAGGTAGATTACAACTACCAATAGACTTACAAATAAACCCCTGAAAAGTCAACATCAGAAATTAGAAATTTAGTGTCTGCTGGACTCCCCTCAGCTCCAAGGTTAATATACTGCTTTCATGTACCACAGTGCGTCTTTGTATTGCCTCCACGGAATTTTAGAGCTGGAGGATACAACCCAGGACACCTGTGCCCTTTCTCAGCCTGGTCTGGAGGATACAACAACCCAGGACACCTGTGCCCTTTCCCACCTGGTCTGGAGGATACGACCCAGGACACCTGTGCCCTTTCCCACCTGGTCTGGAGGGTACAACCCAGGACACCTGTGCCCTTTCCCACCTGGTCTCAGGTGTTCTGTCACTCTCTCCGTCTTCCTGCCTTATCTTGCAGACGTCCACTCCTCAGCACTGGGTCAGAGCTCTTCTGTACACGGCCTCCTCCTTCTCACCACTGCACTGTTTGCAGACAGCCGATCAAAGTCCTGGAGGTGGAAACGGGCCGCCAGCTGATTGACCATTTTCTTCAGGGTCAGAAACGCTGAGATGACTTGGAAAGTAAGGAAGACAGTGAAGATGATATGTATTGCTTTTTCCAAGGGCAGATTCCTCAGGCCTTCATTAAGGAGCAAGAAAAGGATTAACGGCAACTGCAGTAGAAGACTCAAAAGCCAGAAGCCAGCCAGCTCAGGAACCTGCAGTGATACAAGATGTCAAGAGTTATAAGATTAGTAAAATACAGTTCTGTTTTAGTTACACATACAGACAGGTGCTCAACACTACAAAGACCCTACAGTACGGGCCCCATGAGTGATTCAGGAGTGCGCACAGTCCTTGTCCTTAGATGGGAACGCCGTTTTCACGTGACACAGCTCCCACTTGGTCAGTAGTGAAGTGAAACATTTACAGGTGCAGAGACCAAGGGCTGGAAAGGGAGACTTCGAGGGTGTGCACGAGGGTGGGAGCCTCCCACCCGTGAAGCTCCAGCCTGACTAGGGATCAACACATCATCCTGGTATGGACAGATGGCTTAAGAAACGGCAAGAAAACAATAAGACATGCTGGGTGGGGCCTTTAATGAAGGGCTTAGCAAACCACAGAATTTTCTAAAGACTTTAGTAACTGTAAATACTCAGGCAGGGTGATGATTCAGAAAACATGGGCCTGGCAGCAGACATGAATTTATAATTTTTCTTAAGGTTCCAAACAGACATTTAATTTACCATTAAAACCCCTACATACATGTACGGAATGTACTTTGATCATGTTCACCCCATTACCCGCCCTGTCTCTCTCCCACTCTTGCCGACTCTCCTTCTCTACTACTGACCGAATATTTTCAAGACTGAGAAGACGTGAGAAACGTAGCCAGCTGCTCAGAGTTTTGTGTGTTTAGATACTTCATAGGAGTCACTGCACTTCTTCTCAGTGAACTCGTCAGGATTATTTTCCTCATCTAGTCCATGAAGGAATCAGAGTTCAGGAGATCAACAGTGGCAGGAGTCTTCAAGTTGGAGCCGATCCTTAGCCCCAGGCTGGCGCCACTTGCACCCCGGCCATTGCGTTAGTTGTATCGAAACCTTAGCTGTCTCTAGCACAGCCCTAAGGAAGGGCAGGACCCACCTTCTCCTGCAGGTTCCCCATGCAGCCCAGGTACAGCCGGATCGCTTCCATCAAGGTTATGAGGACGATGACAGTGATCACAATGAATTTGTAGTAATCGGGCAAGACCGAATACTAAAACGAAAAGGCAGGACATGCTTGCAAAGTCTTTCTTTGGGTAATGTGGAGGTGGGGTAGTAAGGGTTGTGAGCCAGTGAAGTGGACTCACCTTCAGGTGAAGCATCACAATGCAGCTCACCCACCACAGGGGGAAAAAGTACGAGTTGAAATACAGTGACATCTGCAACGGCAAGCTGGAGACCATCTCATTATCTGTGCAAGGGATAGAAAAGGAACACAGTTTAAATCCTGGCTGATGCCCCAGAAGCCCTCATATTCCTGAGCATTGACACTGGTTCAATAAACTCCACATTCTAGGCCTATTTATAATCACCAACAGTATGTTCATCTGCATACCCTTTACTTCAGACACTAGTTGCTTGGGGTGTGTTTCATGTCCAAGTATTTGCCTCTACAGTCTGCTGGCAGTTTGCAGACTGGGGTTTGGATTAAATATGGACTATCAAGCTGGACATGGTGGCACAAGCCTTTAATCGTGGCACTTAGGGGACGGGATCACTTGAGTTTGAGGCCAGCCTGGGCTACACAGTAAGAAAGGGGAAAATAACGAGCAAAGGACTATCAGCAGGCGTGGTAGTGCATTCCTGTCACCCTAACGCTCGCAGACAGGGAACAGCAAGTTTGAGGCGGTCAGGGCTACACATCTGACTTTGTCTCAGAAAAAACTAAAGTCCAAAAAAGCAATGTGAATATGAAATTCTATTGCCGCCTTTGTAGGGTCTCTATAAAGAGCTATAAAATGAATGAATAAAAATGAATCTCTTATAGGTTAGCTCTCATATAATAATTAATTTCAAATTATAAAGTCACCCCCTTTTCAGCAAACCCAAATCCTGCACATTCCTTACAAATCCTTCCTTGATTACACGCTGCTGTCCAGCAGAAGTCTTTACCCGACAGGTATTTATCACTCTAAACTGTGTATAAGAAGTGCTGTTAGGGCTGGAGAGATGGTTCAGTGGCCAAGAGCACTTGTCTTTGCAGAAGACTGGGTTCAGTTCCCAGCACCTACACAGTGGCTCATAACCATCTGCAACTCCAATTCCAGGAGATCTGCTGCTCTCTTCTGACCTGGGTGGGCACCAGGCATGCGTGTAGCACACATTCATACACACAAAATAAAAAATAAAAAGTGCTGGCAAAGAATCCTATTCTTCTCACCTAAGATGCAGTATGATGTACTGAAGAGACCATGGGCTTTAGAAGCTGTGGTGATTACAATGAAAGTGGCCTCCATAGGCCATGGCCTTGTTGGAGGAAGTGCGGCACTGAGGTTGGGCTTTGTGGTTCCAAATGCTCAGGCTGGGCCCAGTGTCACTCTCTTCCTGCTGCCCGCAGATCCAGATGTGGAACCATCAGCTGCCTCTACAGCACCTGTGTGCCGCCATGCTTTCTGACATGATGATAATGGACTAAGCCTCTGAACTGAGCCCCAATTAAACGTTTTCCTTTTAAGAGTTGCTGTGGTTATGGTGTCTCTTTACAACAACAGAAGCCCCAATGAAGACAGAAGCCAAGGGCATCAGGTGCCAGAGTTGGGATGCATTATCACATCTTTCTGAGCATTCCTTTAATCATCTCTGGAATGATAACATGGAGACCACTCAAAGGCTGCTTGTGAAGTCATTTCACTCTTACTAGTGTGCCTGTCACACTTAATGGGTACTCACAAACAGTGCCACTTCCTTTTCTTGTAATCACACAGTCTCAGTGTAAGCACAGATTTACACTTACATTTCCTATTTAGAATCTTGCTTTATACACTGTGAGTACCAAGCCTGCATGAGCAGAAAGAACACATTTTCAAATGCACACTGTCCTACATATGCCCATTTGTGACACACAAGTTCCATTTATCAGACTGATTACCCAATACCTTTTGCTTTTGTATAAGGGAAAAGGTCCCTCAACAAGAATTCAATTTTAAAAATTGAGCCCTAAAAATACATTATAAATTTAACTACATTCTCATTTTAAATTGGCTTTTTTAAATGAAAGAATTTAGAAAGATACTAACATAAATTACGTTGTAACATTTTTTTCTTTTTATCTGCATAGTTTTTTCTTTAATTGACATCTAATGCTTTTGAGACAAGCATGGCCTCTAGAAGCGAAAGTTTCTGTAGCAGGCTTTCTTGGACCACCAGCCCCCAAATCATGACATGGAGACTTACTAGTTATGAGTGCTCGGCCTTAGTTTAAGCTTGTCCCACTAGCTCTTGTAACTTATTTTAACCTGTTTCTCTTCATCTGTGTTTTGCCTCGGGCTCTTTACCTTTCTTTCATTCTGTACGTCCTACTTTCCTGCTTCCTCCACGGCTGCCTGGCTGGCGGCTGCCTGGCTGCTGGTACCTGGCGTCTCCCTTTCTTTCTCCCTCGTTCTCTCCTCCTTCTCCTCTCTTGAGCCTAGATTCCTCCTCCTACTTATTCTCTCTATCCACCAGCCCCGCCTATCCCTCTACTTCCTAACTATTGGCCATTCAGCTTTTTATTAGACCAATCAGGTGCCTTAGGCAGGCAAGGTAAAACAGCAACACATCTTTACATAGTTAAATATTCTATTCCACAACGAGTTTCCTTTAAGTTTTAAGAGCATGCCTGACTATTGTGGTCTGTTTTGGATTGCCTTAATGTTTTAAATCGTTCCTATTATAAGAATGAATTTTTAAAATCTGTTAATTCTGAAGATTGTGGATGTGAGGTGTTGTGGATGTGAGGGGATGTGGATGTATGGTGTGATTATGAGGTGAGGTGTTGTGAGGTGAGGTGTTGTGAGGTGAGGTGTTGTGAGGTGAGGTGTTGTGGAGGTGAGGTGAGGTGGAGGTGAGGTGTTGTGGAGGTGAGGTGTTGTAGAGGTGAGGTGTTGTGGAGGTGAGGTGTTGTGAGGTGAGGTGAGGTGGATGTGATGTGAGGTGTTATGAGGTGAGGTGAGGTGGAAGTGAGGTGTTATGGAGGTGAGGTGAGGTGGAGGTGAGGTGTTGTGAGGTGAGGTGTTGTGAGGTGAGGTGTTGTGAGGTGAGGTGAGGTGGAGGTGAGGTGTTGTGGAGGTGAGGTGAGGTGGAGGTGAGGTGTTGTAGAGGTGAGGTGTTGTAGAGGTGAGGTGAGGTGGAGGTGAGGTGTTGTGGAGGTGAGGTGTTGTAGAGGTGAGGTATTGTGGAGGTGAGGTGTTGTGAGGTGAGGTGTTGTAGAGGTGAGGTGAGGTGGAGGTGAGGTTAGAGGATAAAAACTTGTTACAGTCTGTCTAAAGTCAGACTCACTAAAAAGGTAGGAAAATAATTATACATTGGTTAAGCTGACAGTTTCAGAACCTTCAGAGCAGAAAGTAGTCAACGTTTTGCAAAGAGACCGAGGCGGGAGTATTTCAAGTTCACAGACAGTCTGGACTATGTAGCCAGTTTCAGGACGGCCAGGCACTTCCTGATTGCACTGTAACAAAATACATCTCGTTGTTGGGTAGAGTGACTTCTTAGCATGCCTGGGCTTTATTTTATGTGGTGTCATGTCCATACTTCAACAATTCAACTTATGAAACTGAAAAATCAGGCCAAAATATAAATGAGGTGCAAAATGTGAGTTCATTAAATTTTACAAAAGTTCAAGTTGAGTTCTGAAATGAGATAAAATTAAAGCATTTATATAATTGGACAGGCAACTTTTACTGACCAATTAGTTACCTGTCTTGGCAGAGACAGTGAACTTAAACAGCTTTTCTCACGTTTGAGTGGTTGGGAAAAAATATTTGTGACACACGAAAACCATGTGAATTTCCAGTTCCAGTGCCCGTAGGTAGTTGGCATCCACAGAATCACTACGATCTAAGGCTGTCGAGGCTCTGCAGCCTCCAGGACGACAGAACAAACACTGCTCTATCTTTTTCAGTAACTGCCCTGTTCCCAGAGGCCTCGAATTATCAGATTCTAGTGCACGGAAAGGCTCACTCTTGGAATCAGAAACAGGACAATCTAACGTTTCAGGTTTTCCTCCACATAGACTAAATCGGTCAAATGACCAAGATGACAAAATGCAAGGGTGGGCAATGGCTTTGCTTTTCAACTTTCCCTTGTTAAAAAATAGCCACAACCAAGCAGGAGAAAGGATTTCTGCTCCCCTGAGTTCATTGGTGACAACACGTCTGCTGTGGTCATGGTTCCGTGGTAGTTCTGTTCGATGGAGGGAAGGAGGAGGCAGGGGAAGGCCGTGCTCGTCTGACAGCCGCGTGGACAGTGGGTTAAAAAGGTTCGTTCAATGAAAAAAACCACCCCCTTTCCTCCCCTGTGCCCGGCTGGAAGGCGGCTGGCGAGGAACGTGCCTCCCGGCCGGGAGGTCTGAACCCAGCCCGCCTTTCCCGCGGGTGGGAGTGGAGGGCGCGGCCGCTCTCCCCTCGCCCAGCCCGGAAGGCCGGGCAGGCGGCATGGAGGAGCGCCGGGCGGGCTGTGCGGGGAAGAAGGCGTTCCTCTCTCTGTCCCAATCCCCTCGGCGACAGGGACACCGGGTGCAGCAGCTGCCGCGGCTGAGGCCCGCGGGCGCCCGCAGGGCCGCAGCAGCCTCCGGTGCAGGGAGAGTGCCACGGCGGGAGCCGAAGCCGCCATTTTTCACCCGGGCACGGCCCGTGCGGCCGCCCGCGAGCCACACCCCCGCGTGGGCCTGCGCCCTCGCCACTCACCCGCGGCCTCGCTGGACTCGGGCCCGGTGCGGCTGGAGTCGCCGAACACCGTGAGGCTGAAGTTGCCCAGGCGTTGACGGACGGGGCCCGGTAGCTCCATGCCTGGGCTGCCCGGCCTCGCCACTCACACACCCGCAAATCGGCGAGCGCAGCGGCGTGCTGCGGTTCCCCGGGCAACGGGGCTGGGCCCGCCGCTAGGGACCTGGTGCTGGGGCTGCCCGGCGCGCTCCCGGACCTTGCAGAGGCTTCCCTTTGGAGAGGCGAGCAGGAGCAACGGGGCTTGCAGCCCAACGTGACCTAGTGGTGCTGGGAATGCCAGGATCCTCAGTCCCCTTTTAAGCCGTGACGCGTTAAAATGATCACGAGCAATAAGCCATTCAGGCCTGGGCTGAGCCACACGGAGCCCTCACACCATGCCGCTTAGTTTGTGAATTGGTGCGCCATTTCTAGAGGGAAATGAAGAATGAACACAGATCTTAAATAATGCCCTTGACCCAGTAGATTCTTTTCTATGGGTAAATAAAATCTGGGGTAAGGCTAGGGTAGACCGAGTGAGCCTGCTTCAGAAGGGAAGGAAATAACTCGAAAGTATTGAGAGCAGTTGTTTCTGCATCGTGGTTGATTTAAAACTTAAAGATCAGCCTTTTCCTGCTTTCTGTTGCAATGTATCATTTTTAGCATTTGGGAGGATCTTCAGTTTGAGGTCGGCCCGGGCTACATTTGCAAAATCTCAGAAAACAAACCAAAGCAAACCATGAACTGTAATAGACATATAGAGAAAAGCACAATCCAGATGTGTTAGGACCCAGGTCAGTCAACCTTATCAACATCCACAGGAGCTACCCTTCTTCAGTGGCTTTCAGTGGCTAACGGGACAGTCGGCCCATTTCATACTTTATGGTAACTAATTGCACAGTAAAAGTTTGAAAAGAAATCTGACTCTTTGCCATCAACATTCTTATGAATGTTCTTCCTATTTATAATCATACCAACAAGCTTATCATATCAATAAGCTGTTGATAAGCACTGTGTATTTTGTAGTTAGGAGCAGGAATGGCTGTTACCACTCTTGGGCCTGATTTGTGCCACTCCTTGTGAAAATGCCTGCTGGTGAACATACCCGCACGTTTATGTTGAGTGTGTACCCAGGAGGCAAATGCTGAGTCAAACAGTATGTAAGACCAGTTTCGTTAGGTTCTGCCAACACCTTTCCAAAGTGTCTAACCTCCAGCTGTATATGAACATCCTTATCACTCCGTGTGCAAACAACACTTAGATTCTGTTCTTCCCTTTTAATCTTTCTGGTAGTGTGGTGGGACTGGAGATGTCTCAGCAGTTACCAGTGATAGGGATTCACAATACGCTTCCACGGTTGTGCATGCCCGGCGGACCTAGACACTTCCGCCTAGCCATTTCCGGGTCAAAATAGCCATTTCCGGGTCAAAACGTCTCGCGTGGCTTTGCGTGGTTGCGTAAAGCGCACAGAGCAACCATGTGATCTACATGCATGTGTGGAATAGTCACGTGGGCCTGTGTGCGCAGGCATGGCCCAGCTTTTATAAGCCGGCACCATATTCCCGGCTCCACTCTTTATTCACGTGTGTTTCCACAGGCCTGTCACGTCTGTTTCTCTTTCCTATCTTAATAAAACTCTTGTTAGTGGATTCTGTCGTGTTTCGTGACTTTTCCTCACAGGGTAAGAGCGCTGCAAATAACTGACAACCAGCACTTGTTGCTCTTGCAGAGGACCCAGGTTCGATTCCCATTACCTGCACGGTGGTTCACAACCACCTGTAACTCCATCAGATGCTGTGAGAGCCAAAGTTACATTTTAAGTTTTAATTATTATGCCTTAGAGATCCATGAAACAAAAATGTCTCTGATCTGTAAGCCCCTTGTCTTAGGATAGATAGTTCCAGAAATGCTGGAGGCTATTGTTTATGAAAGCCACATGTTTTCACTCCCCTAAACAAGTTTGTTTGACCCATATGCACCAGATGTGCTTGATCAGAAATACGTCAGGATGTATGCTTGCCCCTCACTGGACCTGATGGGAAATACTTAAACCACTCACTTGGTGACTCAGGGCCATTTTCTGGAAACCCAGAGCCCATCCACCTGACCAGTATTTAATTAAAGCTTGTTTCAAATTTGGCTTTAAACTGTGATAGTGGTCTTATTCTCAATCAGTGGGATTAGCAATACCTCTTTTTGACATCAAGTACACATGTGGTGTACAAACAAAAATGCAGGCTAAATGCATAGGAAATGAATAAACTCCATTCTAAAAATTAAAAGCATGGCAAGCAGTATAATTTTTTTACAACTGTCATAAAACACAGTTCTCATTCTAAAGGGAGTGAAAAGGAATTTATTCTGAGCTAAATATGAGTGCCCATAGCCTGGGAACCTGGATTCAGGTTGTCCTAATTAATGTCCATCGTCCAAGTCACAATATGATTGATATCATGAGAGAACGCAAAACAGCCATAAATCAGTGCATCTCCTAAATCCATTAGCGGGGGCGTCAGGTAGGCAGGTCACAGCAAAGTGGGGACATCTCTGTCACAGATCTCATGCTTCCTGGGGACAGTCTTAGCTTTCTGATGGTGAAAGTCCACAATCAGCTAAACCAACAGATTCCAAAGGTTTTACCTGGTAGTTAAAAGAGCATTAGATAAGATACAGAGGTGAGTGGGTAAACCCGCATCAAGGGGGCTAAGGACAACCCAAGGTAATTTTGGCTTTTGATCTGCAACATTCCAGCTAACAATCACAGAAATTCCAATCTATCAGTCTGCAGAGTCTTTAACAAAGGGGTGGCTTTTCCAGGGAGCTTCAGTTGCACAATCAAAAGGGAAATTCACATAAAGATTGTCAAGAGGAAGAAATGGAAGGAGATGGCTGTGTGGTTAGGTTTTAAAAGTAATTCAAGTAGTGTTTGTCTTCATCAAGACACTTAGCCCAGTGATACACATGGAGGCCAAGGAGACCCAAACTACAGTTCCTCTGGTCAAAGTCCACAGATAAATTCTAGCCAGGGATGGCTGGGAGAAGCTGGCTAAATTTTGCTTCAGTTCAAGATGGAGCTCAGGCTCCAACATCTTCAAAAAGGCTTCCAGGACCTTCCCTAAAGCTAGCTTAGCTGCTCGCCTCGTGTTTCACAAAATCTCCTGCCTGCTTTGGTCATAGCACTGGGCGTCTGTCCTATAGTTGTGTGTTTATGTGTCTGTCTCTCTCACCTACCACTCTTTGAAGTCTTTCATCTTATGGTGTTTGGTTTAGAGTCAGAGATGGAGAACTACTGAATGACTGACGGGATATAAAGGTCTTATCACTTTTCCTACAGCTTCCCATCCCTAGTTCAAAGACTTTGCCAACTTGTGTGTAAAGTTTATTCTGTAGAATCAATAATCCATGAATATTAAAACCAAGCAAAGTCTAGCCATTAAAAATAAACATGAGCAACCAAGAATCATTTTTCATCTCTTAAGTGAATCAAGATTTTTATAGAGGGGACAATGAAACTCCAGGTAGGATGCACTAATGATTAAATTGTAATTCAGACAACTACACAGAGATAAGCAATTGACAACTTTAGAAATAGCCTTAAAAGTGTTTCTACCTTGGGGCTGGAGAGATGGTGTGGGGGGATATTTAATCACAGAGTGAACCCCGATTTTGCATTTGCATTAATTAAATAAAATTAAGCTTGGGTCAAGAGGCTGAGTTAGCAACTAGTTGACAGAAAGTAATCCTAGAGCATCAGAGGGCATCGGGAAGAGATAGGGAGCCACGCCCGAAATAGTAGAGAGGGATTTGGAGTGGTGCAGCTTTTTTTGTTTGGCAGAGTGGAAGGATGCTTTTTTTTTGGAGATGCCAGCAAGGAGAGAAGGTCAGCTAATTGCAACCCAGCTTCCCTGAGCTAGCAGGTTTTCACCCCAGCCTTTGAGTCTTGAGTCTTATTTATAAATAAAATGATAGAGATTTTGTTAAAGCTACCTTTAGCAGCAGCAACAGAGCTGGTGCCTGTGGGGATAGAATTCCTGGAAGGCTGTAGTCTAAATGGCTGGGTTGCTGCCAGAGAAGCAGGCCGATAACTTCGGAGTCACAATTGCTGGTGGAAATAGCATTAGGTTAAGGCACAGCCACTGTGCCAAAGTTAAAACAACAGGATGGTGCAGGGGTTAGGAGCCCTGGCTACTGTTTCAGAAGAGATGGGTTCAATTTCCAGCACACACATGACTGCTCACAACTGTCTAAGTCCAGTCCCAGGGGGTCTAATGGCCTCTTTTGGCATCTGAGAGCACTGGGCATGGCTCACACACAGTGCACAGACATACATGCAGACAAAACACCCACACACATAAAATAAATAAGTTTTAAAAAGTCTTTCTATTGTTAATGGAATAATCCAAAGGTTAGGACTCTGCTTGCACAAAATAAGTATGGAAATAAAGTTTAATACACCTACGTGTTATTTTCAACATTACAGATGTGAATTTTGAAAAGAGGAAGGAATGAGGATTTCAAGAGCTCTACCATATCACTGGGTTGAGCAGATAATGATGCCCAGGGTGGCCTGGCAGCCTGGGAAAGAATGCTCTGGAAGCAGAGAAGACAAGGTTCAAGTCTATTAAGCTCTCAGAAACACCCAACAGGGATGAACTTCAGACCTTGTTTTACAAAGAGGGGGTGATGATACCTTACTGTCATGATTGACACAAAGGTTGTATCATGGAATGTGTTCTATATATTTGGTAGTAATTATCTGCACCCCTATTGATAAAAAAATGAACGCCTACTGTGGAGTCAAATATTGCTAGGGTTTCGTTTTCTGAACTAAACCATACCTGCTAAGCACTGTGTCTATTGCTTTCCTAGTAAAGACCTTGGATGCAATTAACCATTAAACCATTCCATGCATATTAGCCAAATTTATGTAAAGTCTGAATGATTTAAAAAAAAAAACATGTTTTTTCTCTCACACTGAAAAAAAAGATGTGAAATATTTTGTTCAGTTTATAATTATTTAGTCAAAATCCTAGGGAAAGAAACTGATAGAATTCTGAGTGTTTTTCCTTTTATTTTGTGACTCAAATTTCCTAGGATGCACATAAATTTCATAGCCAAGAAATACTATTTAAAAGTTGAGAGAGAGAAGCAAGTTGAAGCAAGGGGCAGGCTGTGCGGGGACAGCAGTACAGGCTGGGATAGTCCGCATTGTTGACTTCACAAATGGTCCAAATGGCTCCAGCCTTTCAGAATATTGTTTCACTGGTTGGTGCTCACAGTGTCTTATAGGTAGTCATACCTGTGAGTACTGAACTACACAAGAAAACATCCACTTTCAGGGAATCAAGAGATTTGTGGAATTTGAGTTTCCCATAATGTAAACCAACTGTTCACTTAAAATCCAAAAAGAAGTGTGAAATCTGTTCTTAAAACCGTGGAGTAATTCAAGCAAGATAAATAAGTCTTACAGAGGTCTATAAAGTTAAATAGTTCTTTAAAATTATTTACATATTACTTTATGTGTATGGATGCTTTGTCTCTATCTATCTATCTATCTATCTATCTATCTATCTATCTATCTATCCATCCTTCTATCTATCTATCATCTATCTTGTCTGTTCATCACATGTATACCTGGTGGTGCTCTTAGAGGCCAGACAATTCCCTGGGACTATAGTAACAGACGGTTGTGAGCCACCATGCGTGTGCTGGGAATTGAACCCAGCCTCTGTACGAACATCCAGTGCTCTTAACCACCCAGCCATCTCTCTAGCCCCAGTTAGGTAGTTCTTATACCAATGTTGTTCAGAGAAATGCTTCCTCTTCGATGATTGCTCAGTGTATTTCATTGAGGTTTAATTACAGGTGTGCTTTACTTGTTTATTTTCATAGAAATGTCAGTCTAATATCATAATTTGTTTCTCTTTTACAAGAGACAGTGTTGTTTGGTATTACCTTATGTGACAAAAAACTGATTTTAAGGGTCATTTTTTTAAATTACTCCTTGTCATAAGAAAGATGTGAATTCTTTCTGCTTGACTCTAACAAGGAGTTTACCAGTAATATCTTAGGTGATGATGTCACCCAAGTGACATTCAGTATTTTGCTTTAAAATGAACTGTGAAGACATTTCCAAGAATATGGAAAAATTTAAAAGATAAATGATATGTAACGAGTCTTTTTCTATCCCACCAGCCAGCTCCCAAATAATGACACGGAGACTTCTTATTAATTATGAAAGTTCAGCCTGTAGCTTAGGCTTGTTCCTAACTAGCTCTTATAACTTAAATTAATCTATTATATTAATCTACATTCTATCACATGGCATTACCTCTCTTCCATCTTGCACCTCCTGTTTCCTCTCCTGTCTCCTGGTGTCCCCTGTGTACCTAGATTCTCCTCCTCTTCTTTTCTCTCCCCAGAAATCCTGCCTATACCTCCTGCCTAGCTATTGGTCATTCAGCTTTTTTTTTTTCTTTCTTTTTTTTTTTTTTTTTTTTGGTTTTTCGAGACAGGGTTTCTCTGTGTAGCTTTGTGCCTGTCCTGGAACTCACTTGGTAGCCCAGGCTGGCCTCAAACTCACAGAGATCCGCCTGGCTCTGCCTCCTGAGTGCTGGGATTAAAGGCGTGCGCCACCACCGCCCGGCGATCATTCAGCTTTTTATTATACCAGTCACAGCAATACACCTTCACACAGTGTACAGATATCCTACAACAATTATATGCTTGGGCACAATATCTTCAGATATGATTCCACACGAACATCCACATTAAGAATCTTGCTCTAAATTATGTGAAATCTGATCTTATAATCCTCCATTGTTAACGGATAATCAAAGCTTTTGAATCTCTCATACAGTCTATTCACAGAACTTTTCAAAGGTTTATAACAAGAGCAATCTATGAATTACAGAAAAAGCAAGATCTCTTAAAGGAAATTTAGGCTACACTAAGGGATATTTCAAGGACAACTAATATTTTGCCTTCAAAGTCAGCACCATTGAGTATTTTTATTAGAAAACAATTGTCCTCGTCTGCTGTATCAGACCTCTGCTGCGTGTATCACACTGTGAGAGATGGGGAAATGTCAAGACAAGGGAAAAAGATCAGGAAAGCAAAACCTCCTTGAAGGAAATCTTGGATCCGTCAAGTGAAACTGTGAGTCTGGGAGAAGCAAACGGTCTTTTCAGTGACTCTGTGCCATTATTCACAGTGATAGCCCAGCCCTATGGCTTGTCCACTGCACTGTGTGGAATATGAATCATGTTCTCTTTCTGGGAGAAAGTTCATCTTTGCTGCTACTGACTGTAACAAAACATTGCTCTCCCACTAAATATTGATACATTAGTCCCTGCTCCCTCAGGCTGCTTTCCTGTGGTTCTCACTCTATTGGCTGTAACAGCTTACTTGGCCTCCAGTGGCATACTCTGCAATGCTTAGACTTGTTTCATTTTGATCATCAGTCACACTAAGGCTGAAGGAGTAGATATGTTGTCAATGGACAAGTTATATTAAGATGAGAGGTCTACATACATGCAGAGTTCAGGTAAGCTTGAATTATTCATATTTCCATCGCGGAGTGACACAACTCTCTTGATTTTTAAGATGTTTGCTTTGCAGAACAGATTGGTGCGATCTCCTTTCCCATTGCATTGTATCTCCAGTTAGTGCGGAATTGCCCTTTCTTCCTCTTCAACACATGCTGTGAAGATGGACAAAAGCCCCAGGCGTCTGGAGACAGTATAATACGGTGTTAGCAGGGATGCCCTAGGCCCTGGCTAGGTCCAGATGGAGGTGAGTGGGCATACCACCGACAGTCCCAACATTCTACCAAATTGCCAATATGGGTGAACAGCCCTGCCACAGACCCCGTCTACCCGACCCAGACTCCCTGGAGTTTAAGTGAGGGGGAGAGGAAGTTAGCCTTTCCAATAAACACTCCTACAGACATTCTACTCCCTTCCTTCAACCTACCGGCACTTCCTCCCCTCAGAGTCTAGACAGCAGCCTCAAGAGACTTGTTCATAACATTTAGGGACACCCAGTCCTCCCTGCTCTGTTCCAGTGGGGACTCTGACCTCAGGCCACTCCTGAACCAACAGAGGGCTTAGTGCTTCCAGGATGTTACAGCTTGAACAGAACTGTCCCTTGTGGGTTCATATATTTGGGGTTGCTTTGGGGACTGTGGGAGCTTTGGGGCTGTGGCCTGGCTAGCACAAATGGTTTGCTGGGGTTGGGACTTAAATGTCATATTTTCTTGGAATCTTTTATTTTTAAAATTTTATTTTTATTTTATGTGGATGGGTGGTTTGCCTGAATGTAAGCACACTGTGCCCCCAGAGACCAGAGGAGGGTGCTGATCCCCTGGAATTGGAGCTGTGGTTGGTTGTGAGCTACCATGTGGTGCTGGGAACCAAACGTAGAGGCCCTGGTGGGGCGCTGGTGCTCTGAGGTACTGAGTCATCTCTCCAATCCCATATGCGTTTGAACTGCGTTTGCGCTCTTCTTTCCGACCTGTCAAGATGTAAGGACCTGCTGCCTCACGCTCCTGCTGCCACTGCCTGCTCCACTTGGTGTGACGAGACTGTCCCCCAGAGATCGTAGAGGAAACAAGTCTTCCGCACTTAGGTTGTTTCTGTAAGAGATTGGGCCACAGTGATGAAGAAAGTAACTGATTCACAGGGCAAGGAGGGGGTGACAGAGAGCATCCTACCTGTGGAGAGAGGCAAGGACCACAGCACTCCATCCCCGCAGAACACAGCACAGAAACAGTGGGCCAGGCTTTGTAGAGAAGCATCCGGTGATGAGGGAATTGCAGCCTTCCCAGGGAAGCCTGTGAGACACGGCCAGCCCCACTCCTCCTACCCGAGTCGGAAGAACACACAGGGTAGAGAGGAGAGCACACTGCTCCCATCCACACCGAGCCACCGCTGATGGCCTGAGGAAGAAATAACCTGAAATTCAGTTTGAAGCTTAAGTTGGAAATTAACACAACCAGATTGACATGATTTTAATAACTTGAGGAGGTAGATTTTATAACGAAACTAAGCAAAAAAAAAAAAAAATGTTTTAAAAGAGCTGACACCAGAAAGTGAGTGTGGCTAACACGGCTAGTCTCTGCGTGCCGTGATCGGAAGTTTTAGCCATTTCACATTTATACTCCAGTAAACTGGACCTCAAGGGAATCGCCACAGCAGAGTTCTGGCCTCTAGAGGGCAATGGATGGTTCTGAACAGTAAAGACTGATACCAACTCAACCAAGAATGGTTTTAATTCATTAGTTAATTAGAGACAGGTTCTCCTGTAGCCTAACCTGCCCTGAAACATGTTATGTAGTCGAGGATGACCTTGTGTTTCGGATCCTCTGAGTGCTGGGTTTATAGACATATGCCAGCATGCCCTGTTTTATGCCACACTGAGAATCAAATCCAGAGCTTCCTCCATGAAGGCAAGCGTTCTACCAACTGACCCACCCACATCTCAGCACAAGAACGGCTTTATTTTTCAAGAATTTTGTTTTGTTTCAATTTAATTGAAATATAATATTTGGACAAAAGAGTGCCCAAGTCCTGAGAACAGAACTCTGGGGATTTTAACCAAGTGAATCACCTGTGCTGGTTTGAATGAGAGTCTGCATAGGCTCACATACGTAAACCTTGGATGACCGTTTGGCGGGGCTATTTGGCAAGGTTGTGGAACCCTTCAGAGTCAGAACCTTACTGGAGGAAGAAAGTCATTATGGGTGGGCTTTGAGAGTTTGGAAACACCCCATTCTCAGTTCCTTCTCTCTGCTTCCTGCTTGAGGGTGAAGATGTGATCACTCAGTTTACTGGTTGGCAGCTTGCAACCATGCCTCCTCTGCCATTGTGGATGCTCTCCTGGAGCTCTAAGTCAAAGTCAACTTTTTTTTCCCGTAAGTTGCTTCTGGTCATGCTATTTTATCACAGCAATAGAAAAGTAACCGCTATGACACCTGGGTAATCAGCACCCCACGGAGAGAGAGAGCAAACCCTGGAGCAGCAGTCCTCACCCTCCCTAACGCTGCCACCCTTTAATGCAGATCCTCATGTTGTGGTGATCTCTAGGCACAGCATTATTTTTGTTGCTACTTCATAACTATAATTTTGCTACTGTTATGAATTGTGACATAAATATATGATGTGCAGAATATCTGATATGCTACGCCTATAAAAGGATTGTTCAACCCCAAAGAGGTTGTGACCCCATAGGTTGAGAACCACTGCCCTAGAACCAGTGTCTTAAAAATACCTGTGTTGGCTAGTTTCTGTACATTTGACACAAACAAGAGTCAGCCAGGATGAGGGAACTTCATTTGAGGATGCCCCATCAGACAGATCTGTAGGCAAATCTGCCTGGCATTCTTGATTAACGATTAATGTGGGAGGGACCAGCCCAGCCCACTGTGGGTGGTGCCACTCCTGGGCCGATGGTCTTGGGTGTAAGGAAACAAGTTGAACAAGCTGGTAAGTAGAGTACCATGGTTTCTGCTTCTGTTCCTGCCTGGGCCTCCTTCAGTGACAGACTATAACCTGTAAGCAAAATAATCCCTCTCCTCCTCCAAGTTGCATTTAGTCATCGTCTGTTTCAGTGACAGAAAGCAAACCAGGCCAGCACTTGCTTATGATCCCTCTCCTGTTCCCCAAGTCACTACTGTCTCAATTTCCACATCTGTAGATTAATTTTGCCTGCATTTATTCCTATATAAAGGCCTACATTACATATGTTTTGTGTTTACTTCTTTCAGCCCGCCATTACATTTACTAATTATGTTGTTTTGTGTAACAGTAGGCTGTTCATTTTCATTGTTGTTTGTTGCCGGATCATAACAGCTCCCTCGGGGAGGGGGTGAGAAGGTGTGTTGTCAACAACACAGACATCAAGAGTCAGTTGAAGGCAAATAGCTAACTCATTTATTCAATAATGGGGAAGGCTTTATATACCCTCCTCCCAGCACCCAGGCTGTGTTCCAGTCTGGTGGGATTGTGTGGTTGTCCCTCATTGGTTGGGCATGATCAGGACCTCTGACAGCACCTGTTGCTAGGCCCTCAGGCAGACTCCAGGTTGGCTCATAAGAAAGTACATTATGTGCATGTCTTGGCAACTGGTTTGAGCCAATTTCCTCAACCCTATGGGCCTGTCCTATTACACTATGAGTTTTATTACCACAAATGATGACAATTCATAATTTATGTTTTGTTTTTTTTCCAGTTTGGGCTATTAAAAAAAAGTACTAATAGGCAATGGAGATGTGGTGTAGTGGTTAAGAACACTGGCTGCTCTTCCAGAGGACCCAAGTTTGATTCCCAGCCCCCACATAGTAGCTCACAACTCTCTTACTCAAGTTCCAGGGGTTCTGAAGCTTTCTTCTGACCTCCAGGTACACATGTGGTACTCATACATACTACCCATATTCATAAAAAAAAATCAAAGAGTGCTACTGAACTTGATGGCTAATATTTCATTTAAGATTTCACATTTTTGTTAATGAAAGAGATTAGGTTATATTTTCTTTTTTGTGATGTTTTTGTATCAGTGTTGCATTGACCTCATGAAAATTTTTGGAATGTTCCCCCTTTTTTCTGTACTCTAAACGACTTAGTGTAAGATTGGTAGTTTTCCTAATAGAAAGAACTTTTAAAAATTTGCTATAGAATCCATCTGTGCCTGTGATTTTCTTTGTGGGCAAACTACTTTTGTTTGTGAATGTAGGGCAATTCAAATTTCTGTTTCCTTTCTCCCCCACTCTAGTACAGCTGTGTATGTCTAGGAATCTGTCTGTTCTTGGCATTAAGTTGTTTATAATTTCCCCTTGTTATCACATTTTTAGTGGGAAAGGATCTAAATTGGTACTCTCCATTTCTATCTTCACAGTAGTTATTCTCTCTCTCTCTCTCTCTCTCTCTCTCTCTCTCTCTCTCTCTCTCTCTCCTATTGACAAGAATTTGTTAATTGCATTAGTGCTTTTAAAGAACCAATGTTTGAATTTTTGCTATTTTTCTAATATCTATTTTTTTTGTAGATTTCTAACTTTTCTTTCTGTTGTGTATGAGTATAATTTTCTGTTTTTCTCCTGTTGGCATATGACTTTTCAGATGGATCATTGGCTTTTAGACTTTCTTTTTTGAACTTAAAAAAATTACTGTCATGTTTGCACATGTGTACGTGTGTGTGTGTGTGTGTGTGTGTGTGTGTGTGTGTGTGTGTGTGTGTGTATGTGCACGCACACATGCGCACTAAGGAGTTAATGATTACTTGGTTTCTATTTCAGTTCAATTACAGCTGGAGAACTCACCCTATAGTACACCATCACTTTGGTATTTGTTGAAACTTGCCCAGATATGATCCACTTTTTAAATGTCCACATTTTCTTGAAAATAACGTATTTTCTTCAGTTGTTAGATGTAATTTCTATGTAAGTTTAATTCAGTCATATTTGTTAATTACGCTTTTCAATCTCTTGTGTTCTGACACACACATGCACACAGGCACACACACACAACACTGTACATGTATGTATACGTATACAAGTATCTTTGCCTGCTTGTTTGATCAGTCACAGAGGTCTACCAAATCTTCCATTCTGATCATGAATAGGTCCATTTCTCCTGTCAATATTATTTGTGATCTTCTTTTGGAATTAAATTATGTGGAATTGTCCCTTCCTCATCAATGGGCCCTTTATATCATGAAGCATCTTGTTTTGTCTCTTGGGCTGGAAATCTGGCTTTAGTGGCAGTGTTGGTCTGGCATTCTTGAGGTCCTCATTACAGAAGAGCAAAGTATCCACAGATCTGTGGTGTTGGAGATGTGTAAGTACACTGTCTTTTAAAAGTTTTTCCTGTGTTTTACAACTACTGTCTTTCCCACCTTTTCCCTTTTCAGGCCTCTCTTTCCTTAGGATGTGTTTTATACCCAGCAGGTAGTGTGTTTTTCAGTTACTTTGACAATTTAGTGCTTTTACACTAAATGTTAATGATTACTTAAACATTTGGATCATTTTATGACACATTTCCGTCTCCAGGTTTTACATCTCTGTTACTCAGCTTCCCCCCTTTCTTTATGATTTATTTTCATTATTTTATATTCCTTGTATTTCTTGTCAAGTACACATTATTGTACTATTCTTTATAGTTTCTCTAGGGTCTATATACAAACTAAGATCATTCATTCCACCTCCATGGCAATGCAGTGGCCGTTGGATGTGCTACTTGCCCTGCTCTTTTGTGTAAATGTTGTATGTTTCACTTCTACCAGGGGTTGGAAGACTGTGACGTGTCATTATGATTTTACTCTCCATTTACATTTTCTCTGATTTTTCCTCTTCTCATCGCTCCCAGAATCTTCCTGCATTTCTGAACCTCTCTCTGGGATTCTGAGCCAGTTTATCAGCAACAGACCCTCCCAGATTCTTTTGAAATACATCATTTGTTGATTTTCTGGAATTCTTCATTCAGTGTTCCTTCTCGAAGGCTACTTCATGGGGCACAAAACCCTAGGTTTATGGGCATTTTTCTCTTTCATTTAAAGAAGACCGCCCATTGAGTTGCTCACGTAATTTCTGATACAGTCAACTGTGGTCCTTGTTTCTTTGAAGGTAATGAATTGTTTTCTGACTTTTTGGAAAGTTTTGCTCTGTCTTTGGGTTTCAGTGTTTGGTTACAGTGTCCTCAATGAGTCTGACAGTGTACGCAGGCCAGAGGGCAACCCCAGATGCCACTCCACGGGGGCTGTCTTTTTTGGTGACAGTCTCCTACCTGAAACCTGACGACTAGTGGACTAGGCTGGCTGGGATCTCCAGGGGCCTGCCTGCCTCTGCCTCCTCAATGCTGGGATTACAAGGGTGCCCCCCCAGGCCTGCCTGCCTCTGCCTCCTCAACGCTGGGATTATGAGGGCGTCCCCCCCCCCCCCCGCCTGTCTTTGCCTCCTCAATGCTGGGATTACAAGGGTGCCCTCCCATTTTTTTAAAAAATATGGGTTCTGGGGTTGAATTTGCATTTTCATGCTTAGGAGGCAAGTGCTGTGCTGACTGAACCATCTTCCAGTCCTAGGTTTTTTGTGTTTGTTTGTTTTTGTTTTTAATACAAATCTCTTGATCTACATTGTACATCTTGTGTTTTGATATATTTTGGGTTTTTGGAAAAATCCCCAAATTCAAATGCTGCTTCTTCCTCTATGCTTCGTTTCTCTTTATTTTTAGAACTTCTGTTACATTTAAAATTAAACCTTTTGCTGCATTAAATATGTCTCAAACTTTAAAAATGTATTTTCTCTCCTTTTTCTCTCCATCCATGCTTTGGCAGAGTGTATGCTTAGAATAAATCCTATCCTTCTGACCTCACCTTCTTCCTCATTGGCCGCACTGCCAACTGGACTCACTGTTTCTTTCTAGGTGAAAACTCCTTGCCCCAGCCCTCTGGTGAGGGGAGCAGCTTGATGACTCTCTGTCCAGTGGAAGCCCAGCTCTCTGTGATCTGAAGCAGGAGAATGTTTGAGGACTGTCCAGCCAGTAACAAGGGAAGTACAGCAACCGTAAGGCGGATACCAAGTCCGCAGTGAAAGAGACCAGAGCAAGGAGTTCCTGGAAGCTGTTCAGGTCGGCGCAGAGGGTGCGGCCCTGCGGAAAACCTGGTATCTGAGGTGGACTGAACGAGACCTTCTTCTTTGTAATCAAAGCAGACGAATCCACCCAGAAGTGTGTATCTGGGCCTCAGTAATGTATTTCATTAAATGATGCTATGGACATGATTGAAAAGATGTCTTTCAATGTGACACAGCAAATCCATGAATTGGAAGTGGAGTGAATGCTTATGCTCTAGGTACACTAATGAATTGCTCCATCCTGGGGGAGGAGCTCATTTTAAAAGTAAAGTTATCCCTTTGGTCTTGTTCTATTTAACACTTTTATCACCAATTTTGTTGAAATTTACATTTACTTATTACATTCACAGAGGAAAAATTTATTGTTTAACTGGATCCTATAAGATGTTAAATCCAGCAAGATAACATTTACAATATTTGATAAAAATAGTATATACTCATTGATAAATATTTAGAAAATCATTACAAAATTTTTTTCTTTTTCTGTTTTTGGAAAAATGTAATTATGATCACAAGTATTTTATAACATATTAAATATTATTTTAAAATTATTAATATTATTTTATAATTTTGTTTTAATTGACATAATTTATTTAGGTACCCTATCAGGATCATACTGTTTTCTAATTTTGTTTTGCTTAGAAATCATAAATATTTTTCCAAATCAAACATTATTCTCTCAATTATTAGTAGATATTACAATTTTCAATTTTTCAGTCAAATATTGTAGACATAAGTTAGAATCTTGCTTTATCATAATTTTCTGTAAATGCTGGTGAAGCTGGACATTTTTCCATATGTATATTAGATATTTGGGGTTTTTGCTCTGGAAAACTCTATGTCTTTTATTTTTCCAGGTAGGATGTGTATCTGAATGTTGTTTAAGAACTTTCATATACTAAACACCTCAGCCTTTTCTGAAATTTGCATTGCAAATATTTCTTTCAATTTCGAAATCTGTGTTTTGATCACAGAATTTATTGTTTTGATATATATCTATATTCATTTTTAAGAATTGAAAATTTCAATTGTTTTGCCTGTCATGTCATACTTGATGACCACCTCCAATTATGTAACTATTTACTTCTGTCTTGTATCAGACAGAATCAATACTCAATATAAGCAGACTAAAGATCAGTTCACAGGTTCAGAACAGCCATCAGCTAGCCTTTGCCCAAGAGCATTTGCCTTAGCCATCCCGGTGCACTCTGGGTAAACCATCAGGATCTCAGGGGTCAGTGATAAGGGGAGGGCCCAGGGGCAGGAAGCTAGTTCTTCACCCTGACAAAAGCCCAAGTTCCACCGTATGCTTGATTCGATATGTTTGTTACTGTTTATTTTATTGGCTAATCATAGCTGAACAACTGTCAGGGCACTAATGAAGTTAACCCTTTATCCTCATGACTTTCAAAGCGTCTGCCATGCAAGCAGGTACATAAGAACCCAATTGTTATCGTTTGAACAGCTAAGGCGGCTGGAGGCCGTCTGCTATGGATACCACAGACATTCCAGTTAAACACTTGTCTGACACTCCCCACCCCTGTGCATCTCTAAGCCACTCACCTATTTCCAATAAGGATATCTGCTACTGGGCCTCCCTTTGACTCAGCTCTGAAACAGGCAAGGGAAAAAAAAAAACAACTAAAAGTTTTAAAAGTAGGAAATGAAGTCTTGGAAGGGTCAGTACTCAGAGTCCGGATTTCACTCACACTTAACTTTTGCTAAGCATTGGGGATTTCATTGGTTGTGCACACCAGTTTTGAGGAATGTTGTAGAAATAAACTGATAGAGCTGTGTGGTGAGTAGTCGGTTGGTGACGAGGGTACATTGAAAACATGACATCTCAGGAAGAGATTTGGAAATAGTTGACCTTGGGAAGACAAGATCGAGGCCGAGAGAGCCAAGCTAGCCTGTTTGGTCTGATTTAGAACTGTGTGAAACGGACTTATCTCCAGCCTTGTCCCCCTCTGGGCTTGGAAGCACAGCCAGAGCCCACGGAAGGAGGTGAGAAGAGGGAGATGGAGGGTCAGTGTGATAGCAATAAACACGTCTAGAGAGGCAGAGTTCACTGTTGCTGGAGGCTTTCGACCAAAGGCTAGACCAAGTGCTGGCAATGCTGTGGGATTCCCAAGGCTGGATCACATCTTGAGTACTTGATCTGTGCGCCTACGAATCCATTGAGTCGTAGCAACACAAGAAATGTTCTGCTTTATTCTCCTTTAGCCAGTCAAAAAGAAGGCCAGAGAAACCAAGAGAATGGTCCGTTACCACATAGGTGTGAAGTAGGCAGACCCGAGTTCAGGCCCACCAGTCTGTTGCTCGAGTGCCGACTCTCTTAGCCCATGGTTTGAGTAACCATTAGAGTTTCCTCTAACTCTGAGGTTGTCTGGAGGAGGGTAAGGGACAGTAGGGTTTATGTTACTGTACACTTTGTCGTGGTTCTTCAACATCCAATCTTTAAGTTACCAACAAAAGTTACTGAAAACCTACCTATCGTTTCAAAACAGAAAACAGTTGGGCATTCACATGTGTAGCAAAGTACAAACAGGTTGGTAGACAATGGCAGAGATCCCAGCCAGACACTCCTGGGGCTTTGGCATAGCACTAAGCCTATAAATACCAGATGTATTATGTCTTACAAAACAAATAGCAGCACTCCAAAGCATCGTGGGGTTTTGGTTTTTTTTTTTTTTCTCTTCTAAGCAGAACAAGTAGTTGATCTTGGGCTATTTTAATATCACATTGTAGAAAATTATTTGATTTAGCAGTTTGCATTTACACCACTTAGTTAGAAATTATTTCATAGCAGTCACAGGATGTGCTTAAAGCCTGCAGCTGTGTGCCTATGCATATCGTGCATGTATTTCCTTTAAATATAAAAACTAGATGAAATATGCATAGAAGTAATGTGTGTGCAAGAGATAAGTACAGAGATTGGACATATGCCTTTGTTATGAGGAAGGAAGACACACAGACTGAGAGTTTAACAAATTACAAATGCCAAGGAAGAAAGTAATGTGTCTGTGTTTGAAAAGACCATGCTATTTACTTGACAAGCTGTGCCAGGGCGAAGTTACAGCTGTGGCCCTGCTTCAGATCATTTAAACAGGCTTTTCTTGATGTCACTGACACTTGGGTCACATCTACTGAGCTTTGCCATCAGTAAATAATAATTACCATATGTGAGAAGCTAGCCCGCAAGCAGGGCCCATGTTCACACTACACAATCCACCAACACTGTTAGACTCACTGGGAGAAAACCCCTGTGTATTATAACTTAAAATCATGCTGTTATTTTCAAAGACATGCATGTGTTTGTGTGTGTATTAAAAATATGGACTTTATGATCTTTTAAATATTTCTATATTCTTCACATCTGAACACATCTTATATTAGATCCTTTATAATATAACATCTTCACATTCATCTACCTCAGGAAACCTGGGGCAGAAAGAGTCTGAGTTTATTCTAACCATCCTTACCTCCTAGCTATGTTATTAGTACAGTTGCTGTTGTACAAGTGGAACATATTCACGAATGCAAAGGTGCTGTGTCACCATGGTCTGTCACACCAAAGGCAGATCCAAAGATCTGGTTCTTCTAGCCTGATGCTTGATGGCAAATCAAAAGATCTATACACTCTCTGTAAGTACAGCCAGCCTTCAGGTCCATGGTGTTGTAAGAGTCAGAGACAGTTGACTATCCTTAAGCACAGGCAGCCTTCAGGTGTAGGCCCATGGGCTCCATGGTACTGAGGTCAGTGAGAGATGATGGAAAGTGTGCAGGATGATGTGTAGAGGTTATGTGCAGCTACTGGGACATTGTAAGGAAGGGGTTTGAGCATTCTTGGGTTTGGGGGTACGTCATGGTGCTGCTCTAAAACCAATCTCTTGATGGTAGCTACTGATGTCTGTAACTAACAGTGGAATAAGCATTGGCATCAGTAACCATGGGGATCAAGCAAACACTTCATTTAACTGCTTTTAAATTTTTCCGTATTTTTACCTTTTACAGTATATTGTGAGAATGAATAACCATTTTTTATTTTGTCAATGTGACCAAAGTAACTGAGACAATAACCTCAAGAGAAGAGTTATGTATCTGGCTCCTGGTTTCCCTCCATTGTGTAGAGAAATTATGGCAGAACAGAACAGTTTACATTACGGTGGTTGGAATGCAGGGAGAGAGAGTGCCTGTTCTGTGGCTGTCTTAGTTACTTCTCTGTTGTGACAAAACACCATGACCAAGGCAACTGATAAAAGAAGGCATTTAACTTGGGGTTAATAGTTTCAGAGGGTTAGATTCCATGATGGTGGAGCAGTAGGAATGGCTGAGAGCTCAGGTCTTGATCCACAAGCAGGAGGTGGGGGATACACACGTACGTACGCACGCATGCACGCACGCACGCACGCACGCACGCACGCACGCACGCACGGAATGGCTGAGAGCCAGTAGGAATGGCTGAGAGCTCAGGTCTTGATCCACAAGCAGGAGGTGGGGGATACACACGTACGTACGCACGCATGCACGCACGCACGCACGCACGCACGCATCCACAAGCAGGAGGTGGGGATACGCACGCACGCACGCACGCACGCACGCACGCACGCACGCACGCACGCTGGGAATGGCTTAAGTCTTTGAAATCTCACAGCCTGCCCCCAGTGACGTACCCCTTCCAACAAGGCCACACCTCCTAGTTCTTCCCAAAGAGTTTAACCAACTAGAGACCGATTATTCCAGCATGTGAGCCTATGGAGGTCATTCTCATTTAAACCGCCACAGTGGCCTTTCTTCTTATATCCCTTTGGTTCCGTCCCAGCCCTCAGGTTATGAGACGGCGCCATCCATGTTCAGAAAGGGTCTTCTTCTCTTAGTTAGTCCTGTCTGGAAATGCCCACGCAGTCATAGTCAGCATTTACTCTCCTAGGCGCGTTTTAACCCAATCTCGTTGATAATTAATATTAATCTGAAAGGCCCCAGCACACTTGCTTAGCCTAACGCCATTTTGAGCAAGGCCTGAAAAGTACGGGAAAAGTTCAGTTAGAGGACATGGGCACAGGAACAAACAGGGTATCTGCGGTCGGCCACCTGGCCCCAGAACAGGGAACTAAAAGGTCAGAAAAACAACTTGTACCCTAGATAAG